AAAAATGTAATTAATTCAGAAAATCTTTTCAGGACCCCACCTTGATGTTTCAGGAGCCCACTTTGGGTCCCGACCCCAACTTTGGGAAACACTGATTTACAGGATTTTTTTTATAAACCTCCATTACCTCAAGTGGCTGATTCCTAAAGGATTGCTGTCTTCCTYAATAATGAGTAAACACAGGCAGATTTAAGTTTTATCACTTTGTAAACTATCCACATGTTGACCAGTCATTGCAGACTGAAAGTTCAGCAACTTTAGGATTAATGGAAAGTAAGAGATTATGGCAAACAACCCAGCATGAGTTGTCTAACACTCATTCCTTTTATTATTCACAATGTTGTTCTTAGTCTCATCCAAATCTAATAGTGACCCATCACATCAAATCAGGGATTAAGTCTTGTTTTGTTAAAATAAACTAAGCACAGATTTCCAACACTGTGACGAGCTTGGTAATGTGATCAAATGGTTGCATCCTTACCTCGTTTGGGGACCCTCCCACTGACAGGTTCAGGTGTTTCTGGAGACGTGTCGGCTCCATCGCCAACCAGGTGGATCTGAGACGGCCAGAGAAACAAAACAGGACATGTCAGACATGTCTGCCTCAACACTTTGTGGACCAACAGTACTTTGATTTAACTGCAAAGCTGGTACTGACACTTAAAATACAACACAATTACAAAAATAACACCGACTTGGAGCAATGTTCACTTGATTATTGAATATCCCAGGTGACTTGTAGGTTTTCTCATTCTCCATAGCGCCACATTAAAAATGCATGTCGGTGATGTTCAAGTCCAGCCAGCCAATCAACCCCACCATGTAATGAAGAGAGTAAATAACACATGTAGCAAGAGGTGAAACCACAGAGTTTAGCTGTTCTAGATGCTCTAACTCCATGGGCGAAACTTATTTTGCTATGTGCTCTCGTTAAAAGGGGGCACCAGATTGAACTTACTAATCAATAATATTTACACTAATTAATGCACACTTATTATCAGATCTCAACAGCTAAGGTTCTGAATTAGTTCATTACATTAATCATGAGAGACTGAATTAGTCTTTAAAAGGTTTTATTACAGATGTTACGACCAAAAGGTAGTTAAATATGTAAATTTGAGTGTGCAGGTGCCGGTTGCTGATTGGACCATGAAGACTGGAGGACAACTGATTGGAGGCCTGCAGCAGGTGGCAGTGATAAAAGGAACTGACGTGGACTTCCCAGCTGTTCATCCTCAGCATATCTCAACTGGCCTCACAATTTGTCTTTGTAAATAACATTGGCTACGTATTGTAACCCCAGATTCTATGAGTGTAAGCGCAGCCCTCTAAGGCTATCGCAGATGGGTACCCC